ACAAACAGAACAAAGTGCTTTTTCTTTCCTGTGAACTCTGGGAAACTCGGCTGCATGTTTTTTGTTTTCTCTCCGCACTGCATCTCTGTGTTCTCAATTTATTCAGTTTTGTGAGTTTTAAAGTGGCCCTTTATCTCAACCTGTACAGTAAATGCTGACCTGGCCGAGCAGGTTTAAGGCACAGCAATTTGTTTTCCATTTGTCCATCTGCAGAAATCATTCTATTTCACTCTCTCTGAGTGCATTTGACAACCGGTATATTTGGGCACCAATAATTTACTTGAAGATTGTATTGTTTATCAGTAGGAAGTGGAATTGTGCAGGATTCATATATTCATATTCATATATTTTTTCAGTGAAATTATTTCAATAAACTTAACATTTGGTCTACAAAAATGCATGAGAAATGCCCATCACAGGTTGACAGCGCCCCTAGGTGGTGTCTTCAAATTGCTTCATTTGTCTAACAAAGACATTAATTTCAAATAATATGAAACACAGAAAAGTTGCAAATCATTGCACTTGTGATGCTAGAACCAGGGCATTGTGCAGAGAAGATTGCTTGATTGACTTAATCAATTATGTAAATTGTTGTTTTTTAAAGTTGATTTATTAACTTAATACTGTTTAAATCAATATGATGTTTTTTTTTAAACTGGTGATTACTAGAGCGAGCCATAGCCAGCTAGCCATAGCAAAGCAGTACAATTTCATTGTGTGTGCCGTTGTATTTCATAAACCTGAACTCTTTTCCTATCCTAAGTTTGTTTTTTGGTAGGTGGACATTCTGCCCTGGTCGCCTCCGTGCCAAATCACTTTTAGATATATTGTGCTGGCGATGGTCAACGAACTCTGAGCCTGCAATAAGCTGCCCCGTGCAGAACTCTTAAGCCCTCCTCGATCGGTCACTCAATGAAACATTAGATGCTGCAGCAAAATGAATGCAGCTGAAATTAAATGAAAACACTGAAAAGACTCCCCTGTAGGAAAAGTGAGCATCTTAAGCTTAAAATCGATCAGTGTAGGAGTTGGGCAAGGTCCTTTATTAACTTTGCAGAGGACCTTCCCCCACAGACCTAACTGCCGATAAACACAACTGAAGTGTCAGCAGGTATAAAATGTGCTTAGATGGACTTCTGAGCTTTGTAAATACGTTAGCTTTGAGCCGGCTATATAGCTAATATCAGCTCCTCTGGGCTGCAGAGGTCAGTTATTACCATTAACTATTCCTTCCTGTTTCCATCTGCTGCTCAGAGTCAACACTACAGAAAACTTTTACTGTCTCTCTATGTACATTTAGATTTTCATATTTCCTTGATTTAATTTAATTGAAACTAAGTCATGGAAGAATCAGCTGCCTTTTTTCAGAAATACAATCTGTAATTTTAATAATAAAGGTGCACATATAAAGAAGACCTTTACTGTTTATTTTAAACATTAAAAACAAGATCCTTGATTACCAGGAAGAAAAAGCAAATTACTGGTCTCAAAAGAAAACCAAGGGAGAGACTATAGATCATTCAGGTTATAAGCCTCTTAATGTGAAACATGTTGGGGCCCTGCATCTCTTTATGTTATGTTAGTTTCTTCCCTTTGTAGTAAAGGTGCAGTCCATTATAACGGCCAGTGTTATTTCAGATGTATCTTGCTTGTGTGTCTCTGTTCGTATCGTTGTGTTTATGTCTAAGAAAAAGACAGCAAACATAATTCAAGGTGTTGTTGTTGGGAGGTCCATCTCCAAAACACCAATTCTAATACTAATTAAGAATCTTAGCTGCAAACCACTAAAAATAGCATGTACTGCAGAGGCCCATCAATTAAATTCACCCCCAGGGGACAGCTATAACATTGCTCAGGAGGAATGATGTGCTTTTGCTGCATTTGCAGCATAACACAATGTAAGCTAATGAAGTACGCACATACTGTGTTACAAGGCCAGATGCAAGGACATCATCAGGATAACAATTTGAAATGCTACTGTGTAAAAAATATCTGCTTAATATTCATTTTGATCTAAGTATTTGTAGGTCTTTTATGTTTTCTCTACCCTTTTGTTATGACTGTTTAGCTGATGATAGCAGGTTCACAGTATAGTTGCGTCAGTATGACACACAGTTGATGCTTTTGCAATATATTACAATACAGCATTGCATTATATTACTTACATTGTTATATAATAATACTATATTACTGCTCTATTGTATTTGTTGTATGTTTATATTATTCTATATGCTCTTTAAGGGATTAATATCCTTTTCTATTATACATATTTATTGAACGGCATTCTTAATGTATAATGTTTGTATACTACATATACTGCTCATATGTAATACTATCTACTTAATTATTATGAGCTACTTCTACCAATATAACTATACTTATATTATATATAGTCCTCACATCATAGCTGTCAGAGCTGCACAACAGCACAAAACATAAAAAGGTGTTGTATGAATGCATAAACTGTTTTTTCCTTTTAATGTCATCGCTCTAATTTCTTCAACTTCTTTATTTTTATTTATTCAATTAAAATAGTTCTTAATCTGTTTTCTCACCTCTTAACTTGTCTTTTTGCACGCTAACATGAGAACAGTCATTTACCAATAAATCATTCACCAAAATACATTGCGCATCCACACTCTCTGATCATCCTCAGGTCTGTCTCTGGTGTGTTATCTGGCTTCATTTCCACGCCTGCTTCTCCAGCTCTTTAGTGCTGCCAAGGCAAAAAGGTGCACAGAAGGGAACGTGGCTCTGACTGTCAGAGGCTGAGATGCATTCAGCCCCTGCTCTGCTGTTACACTAAGGCCTTCTACAAGCTTTCTAAACAAGTTTCAACTCCACAATCTCTGCCCATGTAGGCCAAAATAAACATATACAAGGAAGTGGGTCACACACTGAGGGGCAAGAATGAGACAGAGTCAGGAGAGAAAACATGGGCATAGGAGAAAGGAGGAGAGGCCCATAACTGCCGGAGTATTATTCAGACAATTATAGACAGAAGCCAGTGTTACCGCTCAAAAATGCATCAAATGAGCATAACACAGTAGGTGATTTGAGGGGAGATGAGGGATGCCATCCCCCTTGTTAGCAAAATGACCAAAATTAGTTCCCCTTGTTAGCTTGCCATCCCCAAGTAGGAAGTTAAAGTTAGAGAGAGTGCAGGGGCTGAAATGTTGTTTAGTTGAATATGTTAGTCTAGTCTGCCTGACTCATTGATCCTTTATCTGACTGAGTTTTGTGCAAGTTAGAATCTATGGTCCCAGCCATGGCTCTGAAATATCAGTAGCCTAACTGCGCCGTGTATTGGTAAATCCATGGCGCTGTCCGTGGTGCTGAAGTAGCACACATATTTGTAATTGCACCTTTTTCTCTCAGTCCAGCTCTTCTGCCAGTTTAGTCTTAGATCTATAAAATTCTGTAAGCTATATACTATGAATTCTCAATTCTATACTATATAATAGCCTATATACCCTACAGAGTAGGGTATATATTCATTTTCAAAGTGACAAGTAGCAATGTGTACTTGTGGGGTGTGGGGCCATCCCTCGGTTAAAAATGAACAAATCACCGACTGAACGTTGGTTTTACTGGAAATGGCTGAAGAGCATCTTAATTAGTGCAAAAGTGTTCTGCTCCACTACCTTTTTTCTTTCCCCTGTGACTGTAAATTGGATGTTTGGCAACAAATTAAGGGCAGAGAGGTCAACAATTTAGATATATAGCATTTTTTTTTTTTGTCATAAAAAAAGAAAGCAGGGGTTGAGTGTTATCAAGGGAGTGAAGACTGAAGCAGTAGTGAAAAGTTTTAGAGGCTTACAGATCTTTCAACGGCTCCACAAACGTAATTTTAAATGTATTGCAACATATATTTTTTAAAGCTGATTAGAGGTCTGCCCATAATACAGATGTTTATAAAAATTACACATATTACTCATTGGATATAAACTCCTACTTGATGTCGGAGGGTCTGGCTGTGGTGAAAGGGCAGCAACTCCCCTGTCTCACCACCCTTCGACTGCTCACGAGGTGAAATAGAACAATCAATGCCAAATCAATAAAAACAATAACACTAAATCACTGTTTTCTTTGATGAATGCTAATGAACTGCCACCACTTGTTGCACAGATACTTTAAAAATAAAGAGGCTGCACTTACAGTTGATGGTTGTTTTCAGGATAATAAAAGCGTTTTAGATTAATTAACATTCTTAGGAGAGTGCAGGGTTCTCATTGGACGCTCTACCTCTGAATACCTACAGTGTCATTTACAGAAGAAATATGGAATGTTGTTATGAATGTAGGACTGTCAGGTTTCATGTCCTTACACAATGATCGGCACTGTGCTGTGCCTGTCGGGGTTCACTGTAAGATTATTCTTAAGGAATTTAAAATATTATGAGCAAACTTTAAAAAAAAAGAAGAAATAATATTATTTCATAATATATCTTTTTTTTTTTATTACATTATAATTATATTTTATTTTAGATTTTAAATTGATTTAATACTTGTTAAAATATACTGTGCTGGCAGCTGCACCACAGTATATTTTACTTCACTGCTAAGACACTGACTTTGTTGCATAATCAGAATTGTGAATAAAAACCATTTTGGGGTCATGGCTCTTTGAAATGTAGAAGAGAATTAGGCAGAAGACAAAGTGACACCATGGCCAGTCCTCCGCACAGTAACACACACATAGACTCTGAAAGTCACAGCTTTGGGCAATATAAAATTTTCGATCTGCCTCACTTGAATATCTCAGTAAACTAGAAAAAAACACATAATAACAGAGGGCAACATTCAAATTCCCCAGAGAAAGGTTAACAGACAAGTTAAGCAACAAAACAGCTACAACCGTATTACTATGAAGCAATAGTGGGCACTTGTGTTTGGTGAATATTGGGTAACATCTTCAGTTCTCTCTCTTTTAGCCTTGCAGTGATGAATGAAAAATATGATGCATCATGTCCAATTTTGAACCATGTACATCACACTTACAGTACACGTCCACCCTGATAGACTTGATGGCAGGGGATCCAAGGCCATTCTCAGCCTTGCAGTAGTAGCGACCTCCCTGGGTCCTCAGAATTTTTGCAATATGCAGCGTCTCGTTGAAAACACTGGAGTCCTGGAAGCGGTCAGACACACTGCCTGCTGTCTTGGTCCATCGGATCTGGGAAGAACAAAGGGTAGAAATTACTATACTTCCAGGCTGACCAACAAAGCTCCAATAGGAATTACACCCCACTTCAGTTCAGAAAAAAACGTCTTTGGCCATTTCAGGACAGAACTGAAGAAGCCTCTTGGATGAGAGATGAAACGTCTTTAAGTATCTTCAACCAAGTCCAGTTGAGTTTAACCTTCCTTGAATAGCTACACTTAGTGGAAATCAAGATGATACAAGAAAAGACCAGTCGCCAATACCGACCTGGTAAATACACTGAAGGTGTACTATAGAGGGTATGCGCATGATGTCACAGAACACTGTTACGCTCACTGAGTGGCAGAAAGACAAGCAGCAGCGTTAGCTTGAATCAGCTAAATCACAAACAACACATCTAAAATGGGAAAGAGCTGGATCACTGGTTCTTCGGTAAGCAGTAAGGATCACAGTCGAGTCCGACTGCCTTTAATTTGAGCAAATAATCACTTGTTTCACTCCCGGTTTGCTAAACGCAGCCTTGGTAACAGATGTTTTGCCACTCAGTTGTCAGTGTGTTCCGGAAGGGGAAGTGACATCAACGCATACCCTCTATTACCTTTAGTCAAATAGCTTAGCTAAACACTGATTAAAAAACAACAATCTGGAAGTGACGGGAAAAGACAAATGATTAAATCAGTATTTTGGAAGGAAACACATCAATAGCAAACAGTAACCATGGCACGTAAGTTATTTTATGCACGTTTGCTATATTGTCTTGTGTTCTCATGTTGACTCAAAATTGCATTTCATGCAATGCACAGACGACTGATGAAGAACATCCAGGTCTTTTGTGAAATGTCACAGTACAAATGAGGACTTAAGGGTGCAAAATCTTCTTACTTCCCTCTTTCCTCTGTTCCACACAAGACTGACCTCAGCATGGCCTTCTCAGCATGAGTACCTTTCACTAACTGATGAGACCCAGTTAGCCCATGGCATTGGGTGTAATGAAAGGTGAAATAGTGTTACTCTCCAACATGAGGTTGTAATTGACTCTCCATCATCCGCCTCTCCTGTCCTCATTAAAGCATACAGCATGAACAGGTACTGTGACAACTCTGGCCTGGGGGCCACACAGCCAGAAGTACGGAGCATAAAGCTCTATTCAATCCCTCATCCTAAGTAAGCCACAGACTGACTGGCTTTGCCTGCAGAGCTTCACATATCTCTGTCTTGGCAGGGGAGACCATGAATTAGAATCCAATATCTCCACACTGTATGATGTGGCATCATCTTGGATACTGATAACATCCCATTTTACAGAGATAGCATCAGATGGAACAGGGATATCACTGCATGGGGGGATGGGGATTGGGTGCTATCTTGGGAGATTGCCGCAGTGTTACTCTAGCTGTGGGGTTTTAACCATGACGACTCCAGCCTGCGGTTATGGCAGCTTGAAGTTTAGTCATTTTCCAAACAGACGAGAGAAAGGAAATGAAAGGGTGGGTGGCCCAAAACCTGATAATGGTGCCCTATTCCAGAAGCTTTTTTTTTTGGACCTCGGGGCTGGAAGATGACAAGGAGAGAAATTCACATGCAGCAAAAGTTTATCAGAGGAGTTTCAGATTCTCTGTCTTGCTTGGGGTGTTACTTTTCAGAGTGGCTGAAATAAATTAGCTATCTTGAAACTCAAAGACTGTGTGTGCTATATTTCTTCCTTTTATCGACCTCTTTCCCTAAAAACTGACTGTTCCTGTCCCATGCCTTTATACATACTTTAAGTAGATATATTACCATTAATGAAATGTCTCTAAATGAATACACTGCAAAAGACTTCACGTGGCCTGTTTCAAATGCATCAAGAAACACTGAGAGAAAGCACTCCATGAATTTGCTCAAACTCACCAACTGATCGTTGCTAAAGCCCCACTCTTTCTGGGGCCCTATAATAACAGTTAGGGACATCATGACTTCAGCAAAACAAGCCCTAAAGTTAAGTAAGTTATGATTATAAATTAGATGGAGCAAAGTTTTTGAATTCTGTGTCACTCTTCTACAGTGCTCTGGATCCCCTCATGCAAATACAAAGAAAGCTGGCTTATGGCGACCTCAGCAGAATTCAATATTCTCCCAGCTTATACCCCCAGTCATTTCCTTTGCCTTTTGTGTAAAGAGCTTTGAGTTTTAGGAAAGCGCAGTATCAATAAATGCATTGTTAGAGTGACACTAAGAAGTGGGTATTCAAATAACTCTTCATATTTTCAAAAGGCAAGTGCTCCTGTTTGTTTCACAGGGGCAGCAGACCACATTATTGGTGAGCTTTCAACTATCGCTATACCCTGAAGCTATTTTCATTCCTCCACTCCTTTGACTTTTTACATCTGAGCACCTCTATCCACAGGGGGAGTCCTGAAGTATGCCCGGTGAGAAGAGTTTGACCCTCTTCACTCTCCTTAGTGCAATGCAAATACTCTTGATCTGAGAGGAGCTGGCGGATTTGAGCAATATGATAATTGCTCCTCCTAGCCCACTGGCAGCCTGGTTGAGTTGGTATTTATTTATTTTTTCTGCTCCTTTCTCGTTTCTCAGCTGAAAGTCATGAGGCCTGAAAATATACACGGGGGAATAAGTCAAACTGCCCAAGAGCCGCTGTTTTATCGCAGAAATGTATTATTCCTTGTTGGTCCCCTGCAATTGACTGCATGCATTATACCATGAAATGTAAATGGGGTCTGTTTTCATGTTACAGCTCAAATCGTTTAGAGATAAGGAGTTGTGTGTTTCACATTTTGTATCTTCTATTTTTAGCAAAGCGTCAACACAGTGATAATGCCATCCCCTCTTAAATCAGACACCCCAATAAAAATATCAACATTTGCTTATAGGGAAAGAAGAATCTCGGCTAGATTAGTATCCAACTGAAAATCCCAGCAGTGTTTGAGACCACACATACTGCGATGTCACGGCAAGAGCTAATTAAAATGCGCCCAGTGTCTGTTGTTATGCAGAGATCATATGCCGGAGCACGCGTCTTCGGTGAACCTCCCATAATGCCTGCTGTGACGTTTCTCTCTCCCTAACTACAGACTGGTTTCTAATTGCTTGCCATCTTTTCTTTCAGGCACTGGTGGTGGTCTGTGCCGCACAGTGGTGCAGCCAAGTGTGGCTGAGCATGACAATCAAGCGATCAGAAGAAGCAACAGGGGGTCCAAATTATGAGAGCACAGACTCTACAGGTCTGTTTCAGAAAATACCGGCCCTCGTAAAAACTGGATGATAATGTGAAACACGCCACAGTAAAGTCTTTCTTGTAAGCAAATATTTATTTTTTTCACTGGGGTATCTCATTTAAGAGGGAATGGCGTTATTATTGTTTTGACTTTGCTTTTCCCTGTGGTCATGTTTTTGACACTTTTCTAAATAATGGAATATGCAAAATGTGAAATTAAACAACAGAAACCAGAATTGAATTGGAACCGCACACTGATAAACAAAAAATGTAATGAACCTTTGGGGTACACACATGCTTGAGTGCTGCAGTTAAAGTCACTTTTAAGACAACTGAGTGTAAATGACTGTGGTTGCATTGGACAGGGTGTAGTTCAAGGAGAAACTCTGAGACAGTGCCCTTTCTGAAACTGCACTTAGAATAGCAAAAAGTGAAAAAATAGGCTAAATTATGTTCAAAAAAGCACCATCTGCTAAAGACACCAGCACTGTAGGCTGACTGTCATGGGAGCATCCAAAACAGATCACATACTCCAATTGGTCCGTATAAAGCGAAATGTCCCAGGGCCTGAGGTCAGCTTATTTGTACTCACTGACCCGTGGCGCTGCGAGTTGAATCTGGCCAGCCAATAATTGAAACCAAAAAAAAAAGGTGTTTGCAATGTGGTGTTGCTGGCTATTGGAGCCTGGTACTCAAACAAAGTAGTGTGGACATAATGGATGGAGGCCAGGGCAGGGGAGGCGGGGGCAGATGGCTTTATCATCAGGGACTCTTTGATGTCTGTTCACGGCAACAAAGACAAAGAATGAAGCTGGAGAACTGTGACCATGAAAGTATGAAGAGATAAATCTGTATGTGTGTGTGGTGCTCTGATACAGAGACAAAGAGAGAGTGAGACACAAAGGAAAAGGGTTTAAGACTCTTTATATTCAGCAGGGATGAATCTAATATTAATTGTTCATGAATAATTGTTTACTATTGTTTAATCCTTTAATCTATAAAATGTCAAGAAAACGGTGAAAAATGCTTATCCCAAGTCTCAAGAAAACCCAAATTGCATTGATATTCATTTTCCATTGACAGAAACATAAAATTGCTTAAAGTGAATGCTCAATTTTCAACTGGTGTCATCATCAGATCAAGATTGAAATTTTTAAAATACTTTGGTTATGACCAAACACCTGCAAAACTACTGACATTCCCATCAGCCTTAGCTGTACCATTTAGTGCTAAGAAGCAAATGTTACCATGTGAACACACTAAACTACAATGGTGTACATGGCAAACATCACCTGCTAAACATCAGAGAAGCAGACAGTGAGCTGAAAGCACTAAGATTTTCTGTCTTATCCTCCTCCTCCTCAGAGAGCCAATTTCCACAAATCCTTCCAGTGACCTCTGCACTATACTTCTATGAGAATTTGACTTCATTGCCCCCCCAAGGCTGCCAGATGCCAACAGTCCCAGTCTTCCTGCAGAGCCCATAGTAACACCTTGAAATGCCAAACCCACGGGGCACAGCGAAAAAGCACATATTATACGGTGTGCGGGTGAGTGACAGGAACATATATTTATTTGACAATTAAATGGAAAGGCAAACAAGTGTTGTCGCTGCCATGAGTGTGTGTGTGTGTGTGTGTGTGTGTGTGTGTGTGTGTGTGTGTGTGTGTGATTGCGTGTATGATTTTATTATTAGAAAGCCTCTGTTTTTCCTCCGAGGTGGGTGGGCGGATGTGCACGGGGCTGACAGAGAGGCCCACTGTGAGGAAGCTGTTGCCTAGTTGGACACAATCCAGAGACTCCATCAGTGGTAAGGCCTGAGGGGCATCTATGTAATTGAAGAAGTGTGCATATTGATAGACATTTGAAGAATTAAACAGTGGCAAAATTGCCTACCCCATTTACTCCGCGGTTGGTCCTTTGTGGTGCCTGATGTTGTACTTGGCACAACACCACTCTGTAAATGTATTATCACGGGAGCTAGCAGTATCTCAAAGTCAGGGAAAGAGTCTGAAATCTGGACAGTTAAGATGAAAAAAGCTATTTTGTGATTTGCTAATGCAGAACTAATTGAAGCCATTTACAGCGATTGAGTAGGGTGACTTGGCCCCCTGTGATATTGTGGTGCAGATGGAGAGTGTGGTTTAAGTTACTGCTGTATGGAGGTTGTTCAAGGAAACAAAACTGAATATGATTCCACAGATAGGAATGACTACTTTCTCATTAATCTTAGGCATAGATCAGCGGTGCAGGGGCGAGCTTATAGGGCTTAAGCTCTGACTGTTTTCAGCAAAGCCCAGGATCTTTAACTGTTCATCACGCGTGGCATTTTTTTGTACTCAACACAGATCAAAGCTGAGTAGGAACCAATGAGTTTCGAACTAAGTGTTTGGAGCGAAGTGCTGACAGAATGGAAAACAGAGCCCCTCCCCTCCCCTGTGTGGTCTTTTGACATGTCCCTACCAATGTCAAGGTGAAAATCAATTGTCCCAACCAATAGTTTTAATGATATGAGTTTGTATGTGAGATGACTGAATGGTGGCATATTTGAAGTGGTTGGTATTTATAGTTTATTCAAACTCAAAAGGAAAACTTTAACAAGTTTAAAAACTCAAAAATTCAAAAGGATTAAAAAAATAATATCTTTTCTAACATCAGTCAGTTGATTTTAAGTTTAAATTTAGGCATGAGTTGTTAGTAAGCTAATTTGTATTCAGTGCTCAAACATTTTAACATTGATGGAAATGGCAAAAGCAAAATATGGAGGACATCAGACCTGTCAGTAACAGCTTAAATAATAAGAATTTTCTGCAATCAAAGATAAGCAAACAATTATCTTATTACATATCTATCTGTGTGATATTAATGTTTAAGATCAGATGAGATAGAATTGTATTCATCCCAAATGAAACAGTTGTGCCAAAGATGCTCAGTATACATATAGCAGATTAACTAACACCATACCTTTTAGATAAGGAGGGTATTGGAAGTACACATGCAGGTGAAATGCACATGATGAAATGTCTGCCTATCCTCTAAGGTCATGTCCTTTAGGGGAGGGTTTTATCATTACTGAGGATGCTCTATTTTATCAGCCGCATGAAAACTTTTGAGTTGCGTGGTCCAAATCAACAAACTGAAAGAGAGGACACAGAATCACAAGGGAAGTTTCAGAACGGAATATAGCTTCAAAAGGTTGGTTGAAATAGAGTAACATATTACTTACTTGTTAGTTTTTATTAATTTTCTTACATATTCTTATATATGAACATGTTTATTTTGAAAATCTATTATATCTATCAGATTTTTTTTAATAACTAAATGTGAAACTAAATTATGTATGTGTAAGTATAGTATGTGGGTGCACGCACATGACATAGAAAAATAAATTAAATAAACACACACAACTGTTCATACTATCTGATAAAATATCTGTCTACCAATGATAAAACCAAATATATGTCCGTAGATAGGACACATTGAAAGTGGATTACAACCTTTGCGAAGAGTACTGATTACTTTCCTCCCCACACATGCTCTAAAAAGATGAAGAAATTCAACTCAATTAAAATATGGAACTTTGGGGCGAAGAAAGACTCATGAACATGTTCAGAGGATTAATATTTAATTCCAATGAAAAGATGAGCCGTATTAACTTGTGAGTCGTTTTTTTTTTCCCGATGAGGTCGCATACCCTTGTGTTTTTCCACCAACATCACAAAACCAGCCTTAGGTCCACTGCCATCCCAGATAACCTCCTTGGCTTCCGAAACCACTCAGAATGAGTGTGCGTTGCCCCCGGTCCCACGCCACTACCAGAGGGGGACAAAGCTGACACATCACAAAGTCCGGAGAGACATAGCCAAACCCACTGTGCCAGGGGAATGTGCGTGAGTCTCATAATGACTCTGTTTCAAAGGAGATCCTGCCTCTCCTGCCATAGCCATGCAGGGCTTTTGATCTCCTGCCCCCCATACTCCCTGCTCTGTTTTTCAGAAATTCTAATTAAGAGGAAAGACAGAGATGATGAATGTGAAATTGCCCCCCACCCCGACATAAGGAGATGAACAGTGTTTCTGAACTTCTCGCTAATTTAAGAGGCCTCACCTTTTCAAGTGAAATATAAAAATCAATATGCTCTTTTGCTTTGGCATCTAGAGGGGAAGTGTACAAACTAATTGCCCTCTTTATCGATCAAAAGGGGAATTATATGAATTGATGTAAATGAGCTCAGTCCGTTCTGGAGAGAGTGCTGAATTCTATGCATTTTTGTGTTATCAAGCAAATTGGAAACAACATTCGCTAAATGTTCGAAAGGTTAGCGTGTGCAAATCCTGCCCAGATTAATATGAGAACAAAATGTGATGGTCAGGTAATATTGTGGCAGAGCTGACATTTATACATGCATGGATCAAGGTAGTTGTTATTCTGCGAGTAGACAGGATCTTGTTTCTGCTTGTTTCTCACTTTTATTATCATATTTGTTTATATACTTACTTCTTGTTTTGGATGGAAAAAGCAATAAGTAGAAGGCACAACAAGAACTAATTATACGCCTATTTTCTTCAGGAAAAAAAGGTGGAAGGTTTTTTAATTAGTTAAGATCACAACAGTAAATAAAGGAGTTTGAGAAAAACTATTTTTCAGATGCCAAGGACCCATGTGCATTTACATGACCCAGAGTCTTTTTTTACTGTGGCCTGTTTCTCATTCGTTACAGTTTTGTTTTGGCAGATGTTTCAGCTTTTTTGTTTGTGTTCTCATTAGACTTGGAAGCTTTCATTATCAATATGCATGCACACAATGCAACCTAAACCATCAATAATTAAAGGATTAAACTTTTAAGCTGGTTTAGTGCAGAGGTACGTGGTGTGCCACTCACTGACGCTAATACAGAATTAAAAGAAAGCTGCTGAAGGAGAGCGAGGAAAGGAGAAACAGACAGGAAGGAGAGAGTACGAAATTAGCATTCCGTCCCATGATTCCCTCGTGTAGCTATTTTTGTTAGTGCTGTCAGTTAAGGGCAAACGAAAAGGTACCGAGTCCCTTACCTGTGGTCGAGGATGCCCCGTCACCAGACAGGTGAGCTCCAGGGTCTCTCCCTCTCTGATGGTGTAGACTCTCTCCGTGTGCCTCTCCTCCTCAACATTACAGGCGTGCCCTGAGTGGATAATGCGGACGCTTGGAGGTGCTGCGGAGGGAAAAAACACAAAGTGTGTTAGCATTCTGGCCATTTCTAAATGAATGAGCAGTTTAGCACAACAGATGGTGTATTGATTAAGTGGTTGTCTCACTGAAAACAAGCACTGTGGCCACATTTGTACTACTCACAATAAACCAAAGGTATTTGCACAAGAATAAATAAAAAAAACACATTTTACTTTTATAGGATTCACTTCAGTTTATCTTTCGAAACGTTGCTATTATATCAAATACATAATTGAGGAAAGTCGCTTATGACAAAGTTTTTATTAGAATGACATGACTATTGACATGTGAGTAGTACTTTCGTAGACAAAAACATGTGCTGCGCGTGCTGCACTGCCAAGTGTTTTGTCAAGCACTGTTTAAAAAATGGCTTTTTATTTGTCTTTTTTAATCTGAGCAAATTATATTTATGTTAATTATGTTTTTTTCTGTAATCAGCATTAGTTAGTGCACATGTTTTTTCACTGTTTCATGTTCATTTTTTAATTTGCACATACAAAGTTCAAAAAATATTTTCTTTTTTATTGTAGTTGGTTGAGTTGGTAGCACAATAAGATGGATGACCCAGCATTTGATAGGCTCTTAAAGGTGCAATGCCCTATTTAAACAAAGAGGACTTTCAACCACCAAAAATATAATCACAAGAAACACAAAGTAAACCTATCACACGCAGATTAACTGACAGGTCTTTTAATACAGTGACAACACAACAAAGTTAATGTTTCATGATGCCAATAAACTTTGATGTTTGTAAACACAAGAGTAAAATGATTGTTATTTTCCTCTGTCTTTTCATTCATGCATGTGGAGATACAAAGCACACACATTGTTGTCTTTTAAAATTATTTTTATTTATGTCATTTTATTTGACCTTGTTACCCTCTACAGTACTTGCAGAACTTTTGTGATGGCCCCAGTAACACTACATTTTCTTGAATACATTTTCACAGGAAAAATGACAAGAGAAAATAGATTTGGTGGTTACGACAAAAGCGGTAACCAATCAGTATCAAAAGAATTTCTCTCATTCTCTCTTCTTGTCCTCCTCCATTCCTTGCAATGGGAAAATATCAGAATTAATTTGCAACTGTAATCTATATGTACATACATAAGGATGTTTGTGTCTAAAATGAATTAGCAATATGTTGAAATACACTGACTCTGTCAAAAAAATAACCACTTTCTAAGTAAATGTCTTCACAAGTTCTCTCCACAAATGAGTTCACCCTTGTGAGACAGTAAGGATATTTCAATCTGTCCAAGGGGTGGGGGTTAAACAGAAGGGAGGAAAGAGTCATCTTAGGTAAACCTCCCAAAAACAGTTCCACTGGGCTGTGAAAGCGCAGTTGCATGTAAACCTACCCCTGACAATACTAGCATCTGTTAAGCATTTATTCCTCTCCAGCTTACATGATTAGTGAAGAGGTTTGGGATGAGATGATTTAGAGAGCGGATACGGGATATGATTAGGAGAAGGAGTACAAATTGGTTGAAAAAAAAAAATAAAATCAAGCAGAAATCACAAGTAGTTACAGACTGTACTGTGCCTTTCATGTTGAAGGAGCAGCTTCCTGTGTGGGCCTCGTTGCCACAGACTCAGCCCCGGCAGCAGACTCTGTTCTACCTCTATCCGATGCTAATGAGTGTGGCAAAACTCCTCCTTAACGCTGCATTGGGATTCTCCGCCAGAATGTACCCTTAGCCACGCGCTAACCACTTGTCCCTCCCACCAACCATGCAGTTTGTCCCATTCAGCTTGTTATGCTTAACGCCCCATCAGGCTTGTCCTGCCTGCCGAAATGGTAAGCAGATTGATGAACACTGATACGGATGCTAAATGGCGAGTCATAAAGCCTTGTTGGACTACTCTTGCTCTTACTCTTCATTGTCTTCCTCTCTCCGTTTGTAGATGAATACACTAGTGGTTAATTCCATAGGGGGGGATAAGGGCTTGAGAAATAGGCTCACTGTAAGGGAGCTTCATGCAAGGCTGCCACTTGAAACAAAAAAGGCTTAGAAAAAAGACCCCAAGGCACTAGCCGAACAAAGTACTAATGCCATTTACTCCAATGAGCCAGTATCTCTGCAGCATACTATCAGTCCTGGAGGAAAGTAGGAAACACCCGTAATTAATGATCTTCAACTGCTATAGCTGCTACTGCAACAGCCACACACACATAAACACACATTTGTTCTTTATGCAGACAGCACTAAGCTTACAGCAACAAAAGCAAATAACCCTCTCTTAACCGTACATAATGAGCACCATAATGTTCTCACAGTCGCACATATCCTTGTATAGCTATGGCATGCTCTCTCAGATCACTTGGCCCAAAGCATGATCTAAAATGGCTGTCATTACTACATAATTTCTTGTTTGTTTAGTTTTCATGAAAGCCGCTTGATACTCCACTGACAGTAACTACTCATAACATATTCAGAAAAGATATCTAAGAACAGATAATGAGAGATTAATGCAGTGGGATTTGGGGTTGCATTAAGTGAGATGTCAACGCGCTAAAAGGTTTGAGATGAAAGTTGTCCTGGTAGAGGGGAAATGGGTGATAGACAAAGCTTCAAATAGATCATAGCAGGCCAGACACATCTGGTTATATCCCTTAACATCTCAACTACATCCCATAAAAGTTCATTATGTGGACTAAGATTCCGTCTGGAAATGTTATGGTGTGATGAAAATGTATTGTTAAATTTCAGTCAGTGCTCCAAACCTGTTGTTGGTTCAATAAGAAAGTATAGGTTAATAAGGTTTTCAACATTTGGCTTTAATTTCATATATTTAGCAGAAGAGAAAGCAATGATGCACACAATTGCTACCTGCTTAGGCTTAACCCTGACATTTACTACATTTGTGCCTAGTGAATTTCCAAAATCAACAAGAGTTTGACATACAGCACTATACTTAATTTCAAACCAATCATCAATGGCAGAAGTATTTAGATTACAAAACTAAAAGTAGAAATACTACACAAAATGTTCTACTACATGCAATGTCCTGCATTTGTAATCATATTCTTAGAGGTACCAAGTGGAGTTTTCTTGTACATTCTTTACATTCAGCATGTCTCACCAAAACTCATGGTGTGCATCCTTGAGGCGTTTCCTTCCACATTTCTTAAACCATTTTTGACATTTAAAATTGTGCATCTTCTCGCAAAAATGCTGCCCGTGTGCTTGTACACCTGCATCCTCATGTGTGTACATGATGCAGGCAAAATGAGGACCCACTAGTCAAAACATTGCTCTATAGCCCCATTAGCGGTCAAAAACTCAACAGGGTGGCTCTAAGCAAAACCACAGAAGTATTATACTGTACTTCAAATATCCAGAGTAGGAGTACTTATTAGGTGTAATGGCACAAACAGAATATTATATTATATTACTGAATAATTATTACTAATGTCTTAATGTCTAAGCAGTACTTCAATGTTGTAATTCGTTCAAATTGAACTAAATGAAGATATTTGATAAATTATTTGATATTATATGTTTTGCATATAAAAAAATATAAAGTAAAAAAGTATAATATTTCCTTCTGGAACATAGTGGAGTCACAGTATAAAGTACCATAACATTGAAATACTCAGTAAAATACAGTTGATGTTCTGAAGTACAGTACTTAAGTAAATGCAGTTATAGTTATTTTCCACAACTGATAGTCCGTTACCTTCAAAAAGTCCCTTTTTATTCTGTCGTTGATGTCTACTTACATTATGAATTATTTGTAACTCCATGAGATAATGTGACTAATACATGTACAAATTATACCAGGGTAATGTCATGTTGATGTCAAGTTCAAATTCTAGTTCATGGTGTAAGACTGAAGTATAACTTGGTTCTTTAATTACAGTAAGGACTTCACAGGGTAGGGTGGATGGGGAGGTGAGGCAGGGGTTGTGGGAGCGATGGCATTAATAATGTATTAAATAAGTCAGAATTATATCTTTATCTGTACTTTTGTACTTTGTCTTCATTTATGTTGATTTATTACTAATTTCTGATGAAAAAGGAGAGATGTTTATGCATTTGGACTATGTCTTGTTCATGATTTTGCTTTCTTTTATATTGTAACCCCCCGAATTGAATGAAAAATGAAAAACCAATAAAAATATGGTCACAAAAAAGTCCCTTTGCAAGTATATTTTATTTTTCTATAAAATGTGGGGGGTGTGCACAGTAAATGAACCCCCAGCAGTGCCCTAAAATTTCTGTTCTCTCTATCATCAAATAGTTTCCTTCAGCATCTTTTAAAATTCTATTAAAAATGTACATGTTTACAGCCAATTAATAATCTAATCTTTTAAAGCACCTTGTTCTACTCCTTGTATCCCTCCAGAGCAAAAGTCAAAGACGTTAAATGAGTGGTCATGTGACTGGTACAGTGTTATGTTGAGTAGCAGAGCAGAGGTCGTCTGGGAGCAATGAGCTGAAAAATACAATTCTGCTGGTTCACATTTGGATGTTAATTAGCTGTTTTTTTTTCCTGCTGGTTGAGGAATTGGCATTGGCATAAGAAGCACATCTGCCACTCACACTGATGTGAGAGGTGCAAAACAGTGCGAGGAGAAATCAATGCTACTGTTAATATCGAATGGATCTTTACAGTCAAACGAATGCAGAGTTATTCTGAAATCACTTGTTTATTTGCTCTACAAGCGCTTGTGATTAAAACAGTGTTGTTGCTAATGTTGTCATGAACCTGTGCGTTAAGATGGGAAATTTGCATAATGTGCATCTCAGGCTGTAGTGTCATTTCCCCACCCATCCAACCATCTGCAGGCGCACGCACACTCCAACTCCAACACACACACACACACACACACACACAGACAGCTTCCTGATACCTAAGTTTAAAAAAAAAGGAAGCGGAGGAGCTGCAGGCTAGGAGCAGGAGTCTCAGATGTGCTTCTCCTTTTTCATTTCATTATCTCATTTCCATAACAGTGACATCATTTCCCCCTCTGT